TATTTGGATAACATTTACGATCGACTAAATGACCTCTAAAGTTATCTGATAACAAATCATTTTTTTTGTTTTCTCTGACTAGAGATTAGTGCCATTTATCTAACCATTTTTCAAAAATTTCTTTGGCATCCAAGCGTTAGTCTGAGCTATGTAATCAAGATACAAATTATGCAAACAACCGGCAAAGAAATCGCGAGGTTTAGCTGATTTTCCTATGACTAAAGCTCTAAGTTTATCACCATTCCTGTTAAAACAGAACAGTATTGCACACGCTCTTTAAATATTGTATCTCCACTGTGGTCAGTTTTTGAAATGAAATAAGTTTTAACTGGAACTTGACGCCATAAAAGACCAGTACCATCACAGTTAAAAATAAATTCCTGGCTCCAATTCATCATGATCCTTGGTATTTTCTCATCCTTCCATTTATTTACTGCTTGTTGATTAATTGAATTTCGTTCACCAGAAAATTTTCCTAATTTCAAGTTTACTCTTTCACTAAATCTCTTGAACCACATAGGTGAACACAGTAAATCATCTCTTCCAATGTCAATTGCTACCTGTCTTATCAAAATCTGACTCAATGGAATCCCTTTTCTTTGACATTCTTATATGAAATTTTTGACCAAATCATCATGGGTAGATAGCTTTTCACATTTTTCCAACCTGAAAAAGTAGATAAAAAAGATTAGTTAATCAGCTTGATTATTGGAACAAAAATTGTCTTACCTTTTCTTCTTTCCATAGCCACTATCAACAGCTTTAGTTATATCTTCTTGATTTGATAAACACCGAAAAACAGTCCGCACATTACACTTATAATTGTAAGCCGCATCATTAACATTAACATTATTATTCTCAAGGTCATTGAGTAGGTTAAATTTTTCTTTAATTGTTAAAAATCTTGAAGGCATCTTGAAATATTACATTTGTTACCCTTTCATGTTAGATGTAAACAAAGAGGTTACGGGAATGTTGAATAATCTACTGACAATTACTGGTACTGACAATTACTGGTAACTTACTGTATCATCAGATAGCGTTTGTGGCAAGCGAATGTCCATCAAGTAATAGCGCAACTTTCAAATTTAACAAATCATGAGAAATTATAAATTAATATCTTGACGATTTGGCGCTCGAATTCACCTTATATTAGATTGTAATGCCCAATCGAAAAATAAGCTTGTCAAAAACTCTATACTTCTTTTGTTTCTTGTCACTATCTTGATGGAAACCTACCTTGATAAGCTCTTGACATAAGCAAAACCTTACTCAATTCGGCTCGGCAAAAATTCACCATATTTCACAAACCTAATAGTTTTTTTGGAATCTTGATGGTAAAGCAGGCTGTTTGGTGAACATTAACTTCTAATTAATGCTTTAGATGTACACTTTTACATGTACCGTATAGAATTGTTTGATTTCGGTTATAAAAAATGGAAAAGTGTTAGTTCTCATTGGAATTTTATTTTGTTAAGGTATTACACTGCGTTAAATGGGATTAAGGCCATGCAAATGATCTCTGATTTTGCCTCTTTAAGCCAATCAAGTGGATTAGAAAGTCTGAGAACCCTTTTTAGAAGTCAGTTAATCCATAGATTTAGACTTATTTCATTGTTTCTGTCCGCCATATGTTTTTAATTAAAATTAAAGATTTTTGTCACTCATTGAGTGTCAAATGGGATTAAGACCAGCGTTAGTGATGACTATTTAAGCAAATTTTCAGATCTTTTTGGCTTCAGAACTATTTTTACTGAACTGGTCAATAGTTTGTTAGTACTTTTTCTTCAAATTTAGTAATTTTAACTGAGTTACGCAAGTTATTGAAATGGATAAAGAAAAGATTTAAATGATATTGAAATTGGCCAAATTATGGCATATAACGCTGAAGGAAGATCAATCCGTTATATTGCTGCAAAATTAAATCGATCGAAAACAGCTATCAACAACTACCTTGCAAATCCGGACCGTTATAAGCAACAAAATGGAGTTGGACCTGCTTCATGTTTGATGATCGTGATGTTCGGCATGTTTTACGTGAGATTACAAATGAAAAGAAATCTTTTGAACAGGTAAGACGTGATCTTGGATATCAGTGTACCCGTCAAACAATTTACAATGCCGCTAGAAGAGCTGAAAATATCGAGTTTAGGAAAACTAACTGTAAACCCCCACTAACTGCTGAACATAAAGGTGCTCGAATTGCTTTTGCTGAAAAATATATTGACTTTGGTGATAAATGGTTGACAGTAATGTTCTCTGATGAAAAAAGGTTTAATTTGGATGGACCTGATGGTTTTAAAGCATATTGGAGGGACTTATCCAGTGAGCAAGTTACCTTTTCAAGCGTCAATTTGGTGGTGGAGGAGTGATGATATGGGCTGGAATAGCTTTTAATGGTAATACTGATATTGCATTTTGTCAATGTAAAATGAATTCTAAAGCCTATGTTGAAATGCTAGATCAATATATGGCACCAATAATTTATGAAACTTGTGGTGTAAATTTTATTTTTCAGCAAGATAACGCCTCAATTCATGCTTCTGCAGAGATACAAGCATGGTTTGAACGTAAATGTATTAATCGTATGAATTGGCCATCAAGATCTCCGGATTTAAATCCTATTGAAAATGTCTGGTCAATCTTGGCTCGAAAGGTCGACAATATCAGAACATCGAGAGTCTGAAAGAATACATAGTCCATGAGTGGCAAAATATGGATCAAACTATGATGCAAAATATCATATTATCTATGAAAAAGAGACTAATCGAGGTTATTACCAAAAAAGGTGCTTCAACAAGCTATTAAAAGTTAAAAATTTGATTAAATTAAAGTGGCCTTAATTCCATTTGACAAGAATTTTTCATTTCGAAAACAAAAGTAACGATTGAATTAAATTAAACAAACCTAACCGTTCAAAATTTAATCATTATAATCATTACGTTTTTTAACCAATATTCACATTAACTTCAATTAATAACAAAAATACTATTAAAACGCCATAAAACATGGATTTAATGACGTGGCCTTAATGCCATTTAACGCAGTGTATATTATAATATATATTATTATAATTTCAAATCAAGAACACATGTTTTACTAACGAATGAAAAAGATTCATAGTTATGGCGTAATAAGTACAAGTGTATGTTGATCAGAAAAATCGTCATTTTTACATTCTCACAAGCATTTTGAGTCACAGTTCTTACTAACGAATAAAAGAATTTCTTAGTTCTAGTGCAATAAACTCGGAAGAGTTAAAACCAAAGTCAATGAAATAGTGGCCAAAGAAGAGACGAAAGCAGGTGTCATAACAAACAGATTGGCAAATCTGAATCCAACATCATTCCGACCAACTCGCAGTAGAAAAAGATTGATCTGTGAATAGAATGGTGAAAATGAATAATTATTAGCATTGAATTCAGGGTCGAAATTGACTCAAAGCGTAAGTTTGATCAACTATAAGAAAACTATTATAATATTTACCTCATCATTATATTCAACTGTTCTTGACCTGTTCAAAGTCAAGGAATAAACCTTTTCAAATATTTTATCAGAAAGCTTATTAATGTTTACAAGGTAATGTGTCATCGAGCCAATATAAATGGTTTCACCAAACAGTCTGAAGATGACAGTTAAGACGTCTATGAATGTGCCATCAGACATTGAAAATTGTCCAATAATACCAAAACAATAGCCTACAAAAAATATGTAGAATCCAGTTATGAGAAAAGATAGCATCTTCTCAGCACAGTCAATGAGCTTGATGGATTCAGAATAAGTGCTACGAGCCAATATAATCTGTTCAATATTATTTGAATCTAGTTGATTGAGTTTATTGTTGTCGAGATGATAATCAATAAGCACAAACGCTGAATGCATGTAAATACAAGTTTCAAGGACGAAATGCATGAAGAGTGGCCATTCAAATACTAACGACATCATGACTATACTTGAATACCGATTCGTATAACTTGGACGTATATCGAAATGTTGTTTTGAGTTAACATGTTAACGACTTGAATGAGTCGGAAAACATTGATTGCTGTCTCGTAAATGAACGACATCAATATAATTCTGTAAATATATTTCCTTTTCAAAGTTATATAATCATTAATAATGTTTTTTTCGCGATTAACAATGTAGTTCCAAATGCTTAGGAATTCAATGTAATGAGTGAAATTGAATATTAATGCGATCAAAGAGCAAGGAAAAATAAATGCATAAAGAAATCTCCAGATAATATAATATTTGCCAATATTGTTACTCCAAGCTTCTTCAATGCCATCTTCAACAAGCCAATCATAATAAATAGCGAAACCTATCAGCATAGAGCCAAGCGGCACTGCCAAATGAACAATACGTGCTGATGTACTTTTCCGCAAAATGGAAAGAGACAAAATACTCGAAGGTTGAATTGGCTTTTCAATATTAAATATATTTTGCACTGAGTAAGAGAGCATTATTCCAACATTGGCACACTTTTAGTTTTGAAATTGAAATTAAATATCTGTCTTGAGTTTAAGCTGAGAAATCCTCTGAAATGATAAAATGGTTGCAATCAAGACAGAAATCAATTTCAAGCAAAAACTTTAATATTTTCCTTTCATTTTTTTATAGGTAAAACATATTTTAATCATTTTGTCATCGATCGCGATATTGATTAAAATAAAAACAGTAAAAATATTTATTAGGTCATTCAATAAGTAATCCAATAAAGTATGAAGGAATTGTACCAACTTGATATGTTGATATTTTGATCAACAGAATTCTTCAATTAGGATGCAAAATTGAATAGTGCTCAAATCACATTTACCCTTTTACCCTCAGTGACCCTTTTCTTATGTGAAACTGCATGCTGATTTGAAAGACACGATCCATTTTTGATCAAAATTACGATTCATGAGATATTCTCGAATCAATCGTTATTAACGTAGTATAATGTAGTACATTTCAGTTTAAGTCTAATTAGAAATAGAATGAAAATGTTTTGATTCCTGAATCTTGATTATTTTAATTTTAATTAGTGTACTTGTTTTGATATATACAATTGTTGAGAAACAGAAGGCATTGTAGTCCAAGATTTAACCATTTTAGTCGATGGTTCATTTGTAAAGGTCGAATCGGTTAACGACTTCATTGTTGAGGATAATATTTGTGATTTAACTTGCGTTAAAGTTTTGTTAGCACCGAAAAATTCCGTTGCCTTTTTTAATCTAAAAAATTTTCTAAACCTTTCAATGAGTTCTTCGTTACATCTCAGATAAGCCATTACTAAAAATGAACATAGAAGGATATATGAAAGTATTAAAAATATTATCACGATCAATGGATATATATATTCACTCCCAGACGCAAATATGGTAACCTTGTCAGTAGACTTAGCACTAATCATAGCTACATCTACATAATTATCACTCATCAGGTTGACATGAACATTGAATTCACCCGAATCGGCTTGATTCATTGAGCATTTAATAATTGTTCCATTAATTTTAACGTTGGTGCAATGATTATGTGAGCCAGCTTCGATGACTAGATACTCTTGAGGTTTAGTGATATCTAGTGCTTCATCAAGTACAACTGTGAAATTGCTGGAAGATGAGGTAAAGTTTAAAGGTGAAATCTGGACGATCTTAAAGCAATGGTCGACAGTCAGGTGAATCTTATTTTTAGGTTGATCATCATAAGTACAAATTGAATTTGACCAAACACAGTTAAAATAAAGTCCATACATGATACAATAGATACAACTTGTCAATTGTTCACATTTGACAGCTTTATCAACGAAAATGATTTGGTTGGTCAGTTTAGTTACGAAAAACCCTCCTAATGGTCTTTGATTAACAAAATATTGCAGTTCAACTTGGTTTGTCGAATTGCAATAATGAAAACTTTCAGATGAGTAGCAAATGTGAGATGAACCTAACATTTTCATATTATCAATAGTGATGGACCACATTTGATAAAATGGATGTTGAAGTGAAACAAATTGATATTTATTACTCAATGGATGGTAGTTTTCCAAAAAATATATTGGTGAAACTATGACAGCTTCTTCGTTAGTTATATCAAATGAAGGGATGAAATTATCATTCGAAGAACAGAGTTTATGAGTAGATTTTTTGCACTCACTAGACTCAAACCTTAAATGGTTCTGTAACAAAGTGACAGTATTTGATTCATTTCCAGAGGCGCATATTTTTGCGCCTCTTTCAAACAGTTCCTCAAACTGAGGAATAGAATGTTCACTTTCATGATAATGTGTACTGTTGAACTGTCTGATAACGTTCAGGGTTAAATTCTGAGAACTGTTTGTGGTGTTCCGATAAGGATATAATTTGAAATTTGAATCAATTATTTCTATGAAAAAGTCTGGTAAAGTATAACGAATCTCAATTGCACTCGAAATAAGTTCCCTTCCTTTGTCAAGACACATACGTATTATTGATATCTCCTGAGTAACCTTTGCAGCCTTTTCGTTCCATATACTTCGCTTTATAAGAAGGTACAATTTATCGTTGAAATGAGTATAATCAGTCATTTTCCATTCCTTAATGAACTTCCAATCGTCATTTTTACGCCAAGGTAAGGATCGAATCACTGAAACTTTTTCTTTTTCATCATCGAAATGCAACAATTCAATATAATTCCATTTAGGAACTGGTCCTGTTAGATTAGGATTGAATATTGTTGGAACATGAAGAGCTTCATTATCACCAAAAGCTATTATTGAATCACTCAATCCATTGGAATGATTCATTCTTCTGATAGTCTTTTGATCAATCAAAATTAGAGGTTTGTTATTATGGACGAACATTAATCGATTCTTAACAACATTGACCACTTTCCAATTGAGGATGTCGTACACATTAACAATATCACTTGGAATATCAATTGTTATTGTTTGACCAGCCACATAAATACCATAAGATGTTGTGTGATTGAAAGGATTCGTCAAGAAAACATTGTTAATTGTCTTGTAATAGGAAAGTACATTGTGTTTTGGTAGCTTGAACGAATGTGAAAGTTTTACAAATAAAACAAGTTTCACGATCTCTATTAGATGTTGACTCAACATTAAATCTTTGAATAACCCTAGTTAACACAAAAAGGTAAAACGTTTGGTTCAAAGTATAATTTAAAATTTACTTCATTCTAAGGATTTCATAAGGAATAAGCTTAAAGAAAAGCAATGTTTTGTATTGGTTTTAAAATCTTATTTCAACTTAACTGTATTTAACCAAAAGCTCACGAATCCAAACAATTTAATCGACAAGATTACAAATGTGAAAATAAAGTATAATAAAGTACAGTAAAGAAAATAAAATAAACTTTTGGTGATATTCATGTTCGTTGAAATGTTTGGACAATCCTTGGATGTTTGTTGCCTATTTGTGATCAAGTTAATTTTTCTTGTCACACCTTTTCAAGCTATAAATGAACATAAATAGAGAGAGAGAGAGAGAGAGAGAGAGAGAGAGAGAGAGAGAGAGAGAGAGAGAGAGATAAATATGAAAACAATACAATGATTCAATGGTATAAAAATTATTGATGATGCATTATTGCGATCAAGATGCAAATGAATTGCTAAAATATGGGCGTCTATAATTAGGGTCAGCAGTGGACACTGTATATTTCCTTACAGGAGCAATGATTTGAACCATTTTAGTGGATACAGCACTAACCATTGTAGCATCTGTAATCTTGTCATTCATCAAGTTTATTTCAATATTGAAGTTACCCGATTTCAATGGATTCACCGAGCATTGAATCTACAGTTGTTTCATTGTGATGTTTGTACAGAAGTTATCTGGACCAACATGGATAAACAGAGATTCTTCTGAATTGTTTATCGTCATTGGTGTATTAAGTTGAATGGATAAAGTTTGTTGTAGAGATAAGTAGATCACGGAAGGTGAAAAGTGTATGATTTTAAAGCAATGATTAACAGTCGGTGCAGTCTTGTGTTTAGGTTGATCATCATGAATGCACTTGGGGTGAGTTGAGGATGCATCTGACCAAACACAATTGAAATAGAAACCGTACATGATACAATCGAGGCAATTGTTCAATTCCGCACAAATTAGATTGAAATTGAAGAATATAATTTCATGGCTCTTTTTAGTAATGAAAAAACCTCCAAATGGGCGTTGGTTAACGAAAACTTGTTGCTCAACATCATTATTCGAATCCTTCCATTTCTGTCCCATTGCTTCAATAGACTGGCAGATACGAATCAGGAAAGCAGGTACTAGACAATGAAGATTTAGATAAAGGGTTTTGGATGTGAAAAAAGAACCATCGTCCAAATGGATGTCCAAATGTTATTGATTGATGTTTAACAGCAAGGCTTTGATTTTCTTGTATTCTTTCGTAACTGACCCCATAATCTACCGATACTTGCGCTCTATCTGTTGCATCAAATACGATAAACAAGTCATATTTGTTATTTGGATCCATTGAAGTGCTATGCGGTTTCCTACCCTGGAAAAATCCGGGGTTATATTGATTAACAGGAAAGTGCATCCTACACAATTTAAAAATGACTTCAATTATCCGTCTATTCTGAAACTCTGGTCGAGCTAAATGAATGTTGATTGCACTCGAAATTAGTTCACCTCATTTGTCAAGACACAATCGTATTATTGATATCTCTCGAGCAAAAGATTGAGATTGTAAGACATTTTCATTTCAAATACTTCGCTCAATCAGAATGTACAATTTATCTTCGAAATGAATATAATCAGACATTTTCCATTCTTTAATGAACTTCCAATCATCATCTTTAAGCCAAGGCAATGTGTCAAAACTCGAACTGATTCATTTTTAACATTGAAATACAACAATACAATATAATTGCATTTATGAACTGGTTCTGTTAATTCTGGATTGAATATTGTTGGAACATGAAGAATTTCATTATCACCAAGAGATATAACTGAATCACTCAAGTCACCAAAATATTCCATTTTCTTGCTTCTCTTTTGATCAACCAGAATTTGAGGTTTATTTTTATGGACGAACATTAACCGATATTTATCAACATTGATCACTTTCCAATTGACGATGTCAGGCACATTACTTGGTATATCAATTAAAAGGTACAATTTATTGTCGAAATGAATATAATCCATCATTTTCCATTCCTCAATGAATTTCCAATTGTCATATTTGAGCCAAGATAAGAAGTCAATAACTCGAACTGATTCATTTTTAACATCGAAAAACAACAATTCAATAATTCCATTCATGCAGTGATGGAGTTAAAGAATCTTTGAATATTGTTGGAACATGAAGAGCTTCATCGCCACCAAAAGGTATTATTGAATCACTTAATTCACCAGAATAATTCATTTTCTTGATTCTTTTTTGATCAATCATGATTTGAGGTATGTTACATGTATGTATTATAGACGAACATTGATTGATCCTTGCAATGACCACTTTCCAATTGACGATGTCGTACACATTAGCCACATCATTCGGTATATCAACAGTTGTTGTGTGATTTTCAGGTTTAGTTAGGAAAACATTGATCACAGTCTTGCAGTATGGAATCAAATTTTATTTGGGTGCTTTGAATGGATGTGAAGTTTGGATCAGTAAAGCAAGTGACAGGATTGTTATAAGATGGTAAATTGACATGGCGCAAACTACAAGATAAGAGTGAGACAACAGAATGAAATATTATTAATAAATATTTACAAAGAAACGCAAAAATAAATTTAACTGTTAAGGACAACATAATTCAATGACTTATTGGACTCAGCAATTCGTAGTAAATTTCCTTACCTCTGTTTCTACAAAATCGAAATTCTTTGTTTTTCTATCCAGACAATGCCATGGATCATAACTAATAACAGGTTGCATTCTATATAAGTTGATGTAAACAGCTAAATTAATTGATTAATTTTCGTTTACGTCCGAATATTATCCATTTACAGTTGCTCATCAGGAAATATAAAAATTTACAGGTTTGGTGAGTGATTTGATCACATGCTAACAGACATACAGTATAATAATTAAAAACTCATCCTAATGGTAAAATGCATGTAAATATTATAATAAGCGTATAATAAAATTTTCAGATTTATCATTAATTTCGATAAACAATTTCAAGATTTTATCAAATAAATTCACGTTTCAAGAAATGAAATTTACTAATATCAGATAATTTCACTAAATTATTTGTCCATTACTAAATATGGTTGGCTGGTTAATGAACTTGTTTAACCAATTATCATTTTCTTGGACTTTTTCTTGTTGTGAATGGGTTTAATGAAGTTATCCTATCCGAAGATGGTCAATAGAAAAATTTTGTTATTCCAATGATGGAAAACATGTGAATAGCTTGCAAATGGGCATTCTTGTGTCTACGAGAAGATTGAGTTTGATCCAGATTTCATGAGATCGTGTACCTCCTTGTCAGAATAAGAATGGCAAATAGAGTGTGATTACATATAAAAATCTGAATTTAAAGACATCTAATGATTAACCCGGTAATCTCTTTGCTTCTTTCTTTATTACCGGAATCTTAGATATTAAATCAATGAATTGTCTACATTTTTTGGCCCAGGTTGAAGATACCTGTGATATTGTGGTTTTTTAGATCGACATAAACAGTAAACACAAACCAATAAGATGATTATGAGGATACCAATGACAATCTGAATGTATAATGGTTCACTTGAAGTTCCTCTCAGATTTGGGATGAAATCAACAGTAGTTAGATTCACAGAAACAGGTTTTAAATTGAAGTCACCAACTCCAGAGTCAAGCATGAGATTGATTTTAAGAGTTTCATATGTATTAACCGTCATACGAAATAATCTTGCGTCGTACGATCTTTTACCAATTTTAAAACTAACATCTCTTCCTAATCGAAAAGGATAGATAGGACATGCTTTTGTTATACCAAATACTGTTATATTTTCGTTGAAACAGTATATGTAAAGCTCTTCTTTAGAGATTTTGACTTGAATATCAATTTTCTTGAGGGTTTCTACACAATTTCCAGTTTTCCAATAATCTTTTAAATCATTGTTATTACTTTGAAAGCAATCATGATCATCCGGATTCAAAATTGTACTATCTGTGTTTTCAATATCATCTTGTTCAAAAGGACAGATCATTGAATCACGCCAAAACACATACTTAGGACCAACATAAGTTTTCGTACAATAGTGACTGCCGTTGTATTCATTTAGCCGAAAAGGGTCAGCTTTGTAGATGGTATTATTTTTATTAATGACAGCAGATTCAAATGTTAGTTTGAGTTTACGTGTTTCAGAACCAAAATTATCAAATTCACAATCAAAATTTCTAGCTAATTCGGATGGACAGGAATCTCCACATGGCAATGTAACATTAAACATCTTCAATAGATTTGAGTTTAACCTTTTCTTTTGAATATCTGGTTCTATCATGTCTAATTTTTGTTTGATTGCTGAGAGTTCCATCATTGTTTTTGAAGTAGTCAAAATACTAAGCGGAGAGTATTGGAAATATTTATTAAATCTTTGTTGCATGTTTTTCATCTCGTTTGCGATTTTTTGCTGATTTTCAGTTAAATTCTTTAGAGCTTCTACAATGAGTTTATCATTTTTAAATTGATTGTCTAATTCAACCCAAATCTTATCAATTTCATCATTTTTCTGTATGTTAAAGTAATGTTCGATAGCAGCTAAGGTTTGACTTATGACACCAATGATTGCAGAGACACCAATAATCAGTTCCTTTACCACTGTAAAACCTCTCTTTTTTCTTAGTTTTGGTGGACAGAGTTTTTTCAAAGTTTCATAAACCATGTCTTCAGTAGTCTGCGTACAGACTTGATTAGTGATTTTTTGAAAATTTTCAAAGTCTGCAAGCCAATTGTCATGCAGACCAGGCTCAGGAACGTGTGGTTGCTCCTGCTCAAAATCGATTCTATAAGTTTCATTTGGTAAAGGCAAATGACGCCGACTATTAGGTATGTCTCTTTTATCTAATCTTATTTTCGGACAGGGTGACTTCATTGCAATAAAAATATGATGATGAATTTCGCCAAGGATGGTTGGTTTTTCACTAGTTCTCCAAGTGATGAATGGTGCTTTTGTAAAGGCATTCAGCGTTGGTAAAATACCCAAAATTAACAAAGAACATAAAAGATTGATAACTTTAGCATGAGATGTCGAAAGCGCAATTCGTTGTTTATGGTCAACTAATGTTAATTCTGAATCGTTTTGACCGACTAGTTTCATGGAAATGTTACATGAAGTGTCATTTCTAGGTCCAGGATATCGAGAGAAAGGTTGACCTATTTTGTTGACTAAACTTCTAGTGAAACATAAACAGAAACAGAAAGATAATATAATAGTTATTGATGTTGTTGATGTAATAATTGTTGATGAACGATGATGTTCACTTTCTGGAAAAATAATATGCACCATTCCAGTAGATACAGAACTTATCATTTTAGCATCTGCAATCTTGTCATTCATCAAGCTTATTTCGCGATTGGATTTACCCGATTTCAATGCATTCAATGAGCATTGGATGTTATGATCGTTCATTGTGATGTTGTTACAATTATTATCTGGACCAGCATGGACAACCAGAGATTCTTTTGAATAGTCTATTTGTAGTGGTGTGCTAAATTGAATTGATAAAGTTTGTTGAACAGAAGAGTTGAATATTGAAGGGTAACAGGATGTGACTTTAAAGCAACTGTTGATAGTCAGTGCGGTCTTGTTAACAGGTCTATCATCATATATGCACTTATAGTGAAGCGGAATAGGAGAAGACCATACGCAATTAAAATACACACCAAACATGACACATTCAAAGCAATTGCGTATTGGTTTACAAAAGAAATTAAAATTGAAAAACCTGATTTCATGGCGCGCTTTAGTAATGAAAAAACCTCCAACTGGTCGCTGGTTAATGAAAAATTGAAGCTGGAACATCATTATTCAAAGCCTTTCATTGCTGGTTCAATGCATCAATATGCTCAAAGTCATAATACCTATTTCCGCTTGAAGTCAATTTAGATTTAGATACAGAACTGTAAGAAAAACCTAAATCAAGTAGTTTAAAGGTGGCTTCAGTTATCTGACTATTCTGAAATTCTGGGTTAGAATGCTGAACTTCAACTGCACTTGAAATAAGTTCACTTCCTTGGTTGATACACAATTGAATTATTGATATCTCTTGAGTAACATTTGCGGCCTTTTCATTCCATATACTTCGTTTTATTAGAAGGGACAATTTAATGTCACAATGAATATAATCAGCCATCTTCCATTTCTTAATCAGCTTGCAATCCTCATCTTTAAGCCAAAATAAAAATCGAATCACTGAAACTTTTGCACTTTTAACATCAAAATACAACAATTCAAGATAATTCCATTGGTAAGATGGTTCAGTTAATTCTGGATTGAATATTGATGGAAAATGAGAAGCTTCATTATCACCAAAAGCTATTATTGAATCACTTAATTCACCAGAAAATTCCATATCTTCGATAGTCTTTTGATCGATCACAATTTGTGGTTTGTTATTATAGTCATTGAGTCCGTTCAACATCAAATGCTCTGTGATGTTTGTACAGTAATTATCTGAACCAGCTTGGATAGTCAGAGTTTTATCTGACTCCCTTACATATTGATCTGTATCAAGTTGAATGGACAAAGTTTGTTGTACAATTGAGTTGATTATTGTACTAGAGGAAAAGTGTCTGATTTTAAAGCAATGGTTGACAGTCAGTGCAGTTTTGTCTTTAGGTTGATCATCATAAAGGCATTTAGGGGGAATCGGAGTTTCCTGTGACCAAACACAATTAAATAAGAAACCATACATTACACAATCAAGGTAACTGGGCAATTCCGCACAAATTATCGATGTATCTTGAGTAACCTTTGCAGCCTTTTCGTTCCATATACTTCGAAGTATTAAAAGGAACAATTTATTGTCGAAGTGAATATAATTAGACATTTTCCATTCCTTAATGAGCTTCCAATCATCATCTTTAAGCCAAGGTAAGGAGTCAATAACTCGAACTGATTCATTTTCAGCATCGAAATACAACAATACAATATAATTGCATTTATGAACTGGTTCTGTTAATTCTGGATTGAATATTGTTGGAACATGAAGAATTGCATTATCACCAAGAGATATAACTGAATCACTCAAGTCACCAAAATATTCCATTTTCTTGATTCTCTTTTGATCAACCAGAATTTGAGGTTTATTTTTATGGACGAACATTAACCGATCTTCATCAACATTGACCACTTTCCATTTGACGATGTCGTACACATTAGCAACACTACTTGGTATATCAACAGTTGTTTCACCATAAGATGTTGTGTGATTTTCAGGATTAGTCAAGAAAACATTATTCACAGTTTTGTAGTATGAAATTATATTATGTTTCGTTGCACTGAATGGATGTGAAGTTCGGTTCAGCAGAGCAAGTGACAGGATTGTTATAAGATGGTAATAAGACATGGTACAAATAATAACAAGATGAAAGCGAGGGTCCAGAATGAAATAAAAAAAGCTTTATAAACTTTAGCACAACAATTTTAACTGTAAATTGAAACACAGAAATACAAAAGTTAGTTTATGTTTAAAGACAACATCATTCAATGGCAATTTGTTATAAAAAGTTCCTTACCTCTGTTTCTGCAAAATCAAAATTGTTTTTCTATCCAGACAATGCCAAGGATCATTACTAATATCAATAACAGGATGAATTCCATATTAAGTCAATGGAATTAGCTAAATTAATTTGTTAATTTTCTTACACATCCGACAATTATCCATTTACAGCTGCTCATCAGGAAATATAAAAATTTGCAGGTTTGGTGAGTGATTTGATCACATGCTTACAGATATACAGTATAATAATTAAAGACTCATCCTAATGATCAAATGCATGTAAATAATAAGCGCATAATAAAATTTTCTGATTCATCACTAATTTCGATAAACAATTGAAATCTTCCAAGATGTTATGAGCAGCATTTACCTTTCCAAGAAATGAAATTAACCAATATAAAATAAGTTCACTAAATTAACGAATGTGCTCCTTGTGCGAACTCCTTGTGCTGTAAGTTTAAGTGGGTTGCTGTATGGTTTGGGTATAATCTGAATCTGATCTCTATTTAGATCAACTACTTTCCAATTGACGATGTCGGACATATTAACATTACTTGTTGTTATAAAAATGTTATTGTTTGATCAGCAACATAAGTACCATAAAAGATGTGTTTATTGGGATTCGTCAAGAAGACATTCATTGTCCTGTAATAGGAAAGTTCATTGTGTTTCAGTAGCTTGAATGAGTGTGAATATTCAACCGATAAAACAAGTTTCACGATCTCTATTAAATACTGTTCAATATGCAATATTTGTTAAGAGTAAAGTAAGTCTGCACAAAAGTGAAAAAATACTTAATTTAAAGATTAACCAAAATTTTATTCCGGTTCATGAATTTCACAAGGAATAAACTTAAAAAAATATTTTGACGATTATTGTCAATCTTTAAACATAAAGACAGTAATATTACATGAATCCAATTATTATTATATTTTTGACAGTTTATCGTTTATTTATTAACTTGAAGCTCATGGCCAATCAAAGTTCATGATTAACCTTTAAAATAAATAGAAGTTAAGTAGATTATGAAATGAATTCCAGTGGTTCATTTGATTTGTACATTTGTATTTGAAAATGCTGCAAATGTTTTTTACTCCTTTTGATCCACAAAATTTTCTGATTCTAGTTAATTTTTCCTTATCACACCTTGCATCGTGAAATTTAAATCGTGGTCTTATACTTTTGTCACCTTGATTTTTCTTAATAATTTTCTAATTAAATCATATATTTTTTCAAATGCGGTCTCATTTGATTCACTTTCTTACGCTCTGCTCAAAACTTATAAAATCGAAAAAGCGAAAGATTTAGACCTAAAAATTAAGTGGTCTTATATTAATACTTTTGTCAACCAGTTTATATGCACTTGAGAGGAATTGGAGTTTCATGTGACCAAACACAATTAAAATATAGACCAAACATTATACAATCAATGCAATTGTTCAATTCCCGACAGATGAAATTAAAATTGAAAAATATTATTTCATGGCTCTTTTTAGTAATGAAGAAAACTCCAAATCGTCGTTGATTACCGAACACTTGTTGTTCAACAGCATTAGTCAAACGCTTTCATTTCTGTCCCATGGTTTCAATGGACTGACAGTAATAACGATCATAATCAGTATCCAAAAAAAAATTTATATACAGGGTTTTGGATACGGAAAAATAACCATCGGCTAAATGGCTGTCCAAACATAATTGATTAATGTTTCACAGCATGACCTCGATCTTCGTAGATGCTTTCGTAAACGTTCGCTTTTTCCTTCGCATCAAATGAAGCGATGGTATTTCCATCTACAAAACAAAGTTGGTTGATAGATTTTTTGCATTCACTAGATTCTGATCGTAAATGGTACTGTAATAGGTTGAGGTCACTTGATTTTGTACTTGAGGCAATCATTTCTTCCACCATGTTGAGCATACCATCATAACAAGAATCGCACATGTGTATATCAAAGTGCATTCGATCTCGATTCGCACTATCTAATGTGATGAACAAATCATATCTCCTAATATTTGGATCATCTCCGTAACGAGGTTCCCATCGCGCCATTCTGTGAGTTTATGATCGTTACTAAAACTTAACCATTCAAAATTAAAAATGTCTTCAGTTATCTGACTATTCTAAAACTCTGGCCGAGTGAAATGAACTTCAATTGAACTCGAAATAAGTTCACTCCCTCCGTCAAGACACAATCGTATTATTGATATCTCTTGAGTAACATTCGAGGCTTTTTCATTCCAAATACTTCGCTTTATTAGAAGGTACAATTTATCGTCGAAATGAATATAATCCATCATTTTCCATTCTTTAATGAACTTCCAATCATCATCTTTAAGTCAAGGTAAGGAGTCAATGACTCGAACTGATTCATTTTCGACATCGAAATACAACAATTCAAGGTAATTCCATTTATGAGATGGTGGAGTTGACTATTGTCGGAACATGAAGAGCTTCACTATCACCAAGAGATATAATTTAATCACTTAATTCACCAGAATAATGCATTTTCTTTGATGGTCTTTTGAGCAATCATGATTTGAGGTTTGTTATCATGAACGAACATTAACCGATCTTTATCAACATTGACCGTTTCCCAATTGACGATGTTGTTGTCAACAGTTGTTGTTTCCCCAGCCACATAAATACCATAAGATGTTGTGTGATTTTCAGGATTAGTCAAGAAAACATTGTTCACAGTCTTGTACAGTAGTATGAAATTATATTGTGTTTCGGAGGTTTGAATGGATGTGAAGTCTGGATCATTAAGGCAAATGACAGGATTGTTATAAGATGGCAAATAGATATGATACAAATAACAAGATAAGAGTGAGACAACTGAATGGAATAAATTTTTTAATAAACTTTAGCACAATAAATGTAAATGAAATTGAAATACAGAAACACAAAACTAAATTAAACTGTTTAAGGACTCCACCATGTTGTTTGTTTCTCTACCAGACAATACCATGGATAGTAACTGATGAGCAATTACATCTTTGCAGACGCATAATAATTAAATACTTATCTTAATGATTGTATAAGTAATATTGTATTGTATTGTATAAACATTATAAACGTTAGCATAATGATTGTAACTGTTGATTTAAACAAAGAAAAAAAAATTAATTTTTAAAAGACAACATCATTCAATGGCAATTTGTTAATGGAAATATAAAAATTTTCAGGTTTGTTGAGTGATTTGATCACATACTTACAGATATATTAATAATATAATATTAATAATATAATAATTAAAGACCCATCCTAATGATCAAATGCATGTAAATACTAAACGTGTAATAAAATTTTCTGATTCATCATTAACTCACATTTGAAACATTTAGGTTTTCAAGAAATGAAATTAACTAATATCAGATAATTTCACTAAACTAACGAATGGTAACTCAATTCCTTGTATTGTAAGTTTAAGTAGGTTGCTACATAGTTCTGGTATAATCTGAATCTAGTTCACTTGAAATACGTTCTGTATTGTAATTAAATGAAAATCATCTGCAATTTTACATTACAATCAATTTTTAAGTCAAGGTAAAGAGTCAATAGATCAAACTAATTCACTTACCCATGAAAAAGAAACCATTCATGAGGTGTTTATTCGTCACCAAGAGATAGCTCATCAGAAAAATTCAGTTCCCTGGTTGTTTTTCGAACAATCTGAATTGAAAGTTTATTTCTTTGACAGATGTTTCATTGTTTCGTTTTATTGTGTTCATTAGAATCGTGCGCAATTCTGTGGATGTCTTATTTTCTGTATTTCCGTTTGTCCTTTATAAATTACGGCATTTTTAAAATATTCAAGACTCATTTCTATGTATTTCTTATATTTATTTCAATTTCAGGTCAATATTTAAACAAAAGACAAAAATATATCATGAATCCAAACCATTAATTTTGATAGTTTATCGTTTATTCATTAATCATACTGGAAGATTCAATTGTGTGAATGGTGGCTCATGGTCACTCAAACGTAATGATTAAATTTTAAAATAAATAAAAGTTTAAGTAGATTATGAAATGAATTCTAGTAGGTTATTCTGAGCGAAGCGGAGATCATGTTTGTCCAAATATTGGAAAATGCTGCAAATGTTTCTGATTCTTTTTGATCAACAAAATTCTCTGATTCTAGTTAATTTTTGCTTACCACACCTTTTGTAAGCTACAAATAAACACAAACAGAGAAACAAACATGAAAATAATGTAATAATTATTGATTTTGTTGACGTCGTTGGTGTAATAATTGTTGATGAACCATTACATTTATCAGACTTTGTTTTATAATCACTTTCGGGAACAATAATATGAACCATTCCAGTAGATACGGCACTAATCATTGTAACATCTGCAGTGTTGTAATCTATTAAGCTTATTTCAATATTGAAGTTACCCGGTTTCAATGAGTTCATAGAGCATTGGAAGTTGAGTCCGTTCAACATCCAATGCACTGTGATGTTTGTACAGTAATTATCTGGACCAGCTTGGATAGTCAAAGTTTCATCTGACATTCTTATCACAGATTCTGTATTAAGTTGAATGAATAAAGTTTGTTGTACAGATGAGTTGATTATTGTATTAGAGGAAAAGTATATGATTTTAAAGCAAAAGTTGACAGTCAGTGCAGTCTTGTCTTTAGGTTGATCATCATATTTGCACTTGGGAAGAGTGGGAGTTTCATGTGACCAAACACAATTAAAATAGTAACCATACATGATACAATCAATGCAACTGTTAAATTCCACACAAATTAAATTAAAGTTGAAAAATATTATTTCATGGCTCTTTTTAGCAATGAAAAAACCTCCAAATGGTCGCTGGTTAACGAAAAATTGTTGCTCAACATCAATATTCAAACGCTTCCATTTCTGCTCCATTACTTCAATAGACTGGCAGTAATAACGATCAAAATCAGGTGAAAAAAATCCACAATGAAAGCTAGTATACAAACCAGATTTAGATAAAGGGGTTTGTATATGCAAAAATAACCATCGGCTAAATGGATGTCCAAACATAATTGATTGATGTTTCACAGTATTACTTTGATTTTCGAGTTTTTTTCTGGAAAATTCCAAATAACTCACATCTAGTGTCGTTTTTTCCTTCACATCAAATGAAGGGATGGTATTTTCATCTGAAAAACAAAGTTGATTGATGGATTTTTTGCATTCACTAGATTCTGATCGTAAATGGTATTGTAATAGGTTGAGGTCACTTGATTTTGTACCTGCGGTTAACATTCTCTCCACTATGTCGAACACATCATCACCATGTCCATTGAACATTTCTGTATGAAAGTGCATTTGATCTCGATTCGGAGTATCTAATGTGATAAACAAATTATATCTTCCGTTTGGGTCATCTCCGTAACTAGGTTTCCTATCGCGCCAGTCTGCGACTCTATAACCATTACTAACACTTGTTCTGTAAATAAAAATGGCTTCAATTATCTGAATATTCTGAAACTCTGGTTGAGTGAAATGAACTTCAACTGCACTTGAAATAAGTTCCCTTCCTTTGTCAAGATACAATCGTATTATTGATATCTCTTGAGTAACATTTAGGGATTTTTCATTCCAAGTATCTTCGCTTTATAAGAAGGTCACAATTTATCGTACATATGAATATAATCCATCATTTTCCATTCTATAATGAACTTCCAATCATCTTTTAGCCAAGGTAAGGATTGAATTACAGAAAATGATCGATTTTGAACATGGAAATGCAATAATTCAATATAATTCCATGTATGAACTGGTTCAGTTAAATTTGGATTAAATATTGTTGGAACATGAAGAGTTTCATTGTCACCAAAAGCTATTATTGAATCACTCAATTCACCAGAATAATCCATTTTCTTGATCCTCTTTTGATCAATCAGAATTTGAGGTTTGTTATCATGGACGAACATTAACCGATATTTATCAACATTGACCACTTTCCAATTAAAGATATCAGACACATTAGCCACACTTCTTGGTATATCAACAGTTGTTGTTTCCCCAGCCACATAAATACCATAAGATGTTGTGTGATTTTCAGGATTGGTCAAGAAAACATTATTCACAGTCTTGTAGTATGAAATTATATTGTGTTTCGGTGGTTTGAATAGATGTGAAGTTTGGATCAGTAGAGTAAGGGACAGTATTGTTATAAGATGGCAGATAGACATGATACAAATAACAAGATAAGAGTGAGGCAACTGAATGAAATTAATTGTTTAATAAACTTTAACACAACAAATGTAAATTGAAATTGAAATACAGAAACACAAAATTAAATTCAACTGTTTAAGGACTCCACCATTCAATGACTTATTGGACTCAGCAACTTGTAAACAGTTCGTTGGTTTATTTAAAATTGAAATTCTTTGTTTTTCTATTCAGACAGTTCCATGGATCATAACTATTAACAGGATGATTTCCATTTAAGTCAATGGAATTAGCTAAATTAATTGATTAATTTTTGTTCACATCCGAATATTATCCATTAATAGTTGCTCATCAGGAAATAATAAAATTTTTCAGGTTCGCTGAGTCATTTAGAAACATAATTACAGATGTGTAATAATTAAAGACCCATCAGAATTGCAGTAATATTCCTTGTACTGTAAGTATTAAGTTATTAGTAGCTTGCCGCATTGTAATACTGAAAGATTTCATTGTGTTAATGGTGAATTTGAGCTTAACCAAAATGATATTCAGAAGATACTCCAGGACAAACAATATTGGGGCAAATTATTTACTCTTTGGGGTCATACCTAATTTTTATAAGTTTTATACCGTAGTCTTTTGCTGACTATTTCAAAATTGATCAAATTAATTGTTTCGATAAACTGGTGAGATGGCATTGTGCTCCATTGTGGAAAGTACATTGAATTGCAGATGTGCCAATTTATTAAAAGTGATCTAAGCTTTATTGCATTTCATGGATTTTATAAGGAATAAGTTAAAAAAACCTTCTTGATTATTATTGTATTCACTAGCCTAGTGAGCAATTCCGCGAATCTGCAACTGAATCTGAATGTCTTAGTTGCCTTACATCTATTTATCCTTTACAATACTCAAGACTCATTTCGATGTAACGACTTATTTTAATTTCAGGTCAACCTTTAAATACAAAGACAAAAATATAACATGAATCTAATTGTTATTTTTGATAGTTTATCGTTTATTTGTTAATGATACTGAAAGATTTCATTGTGTGAATGGTGAACTTGAAGCTCATGGTCAACCAAAGGTCATGATTAACCTTTAAATAAATAGAAGTTTAAGTAGATTATGAAATGTATTCCAGTGGTTCATTTAATTTGCACATGATTGATTAAGATATGACAAGACGGATTCAAGATAATTAAATGTCTAAAGTAAAGAGAGGATGAAGAGTGAGACAAAAGCAAAGACAGAAAATGAGAATAATCTGAGTCAATGTTTTTACATAGTAATAGTTGTCAATGTCATTGCTGTGTTTGCTTTTAATTGGTTTCTTGTTTCTTGATATTAAAAGGTACAATTTATTGTCGAAATGAATATAATCCATCATTTTCCATTCCTTAATGAACTGCCAATCGTCATCTTTGAGCCAAGGTAAGGAGTCAATAACTCGAACTGATTCATTTTTAATATCGAAAAACAACAATTCAATATAATTCCATTTATGAAGTGATGGAGTTAAAGGATCTTTGAATATTGTTGGAGCATGAAGAGCTCCATCGCCACCAAAAGGTATTATTGAATCACTTAATTCACCAGAATAATTCATTTTCTTGATTCTTTTTTGATTAATCATGATTTGAGGTATGTTATTATAGACGAACATTAATTGATCCTTACAATGACCACTTTCCAATTGACGATGTCGTACACATTAGCCACATCATTCGGTATATCAACAGTTGTTGTGTGATTTTCAGGTTTAGTTAGGAAAACATTGATCACAGTCTTGCAGTATGGAATCAAATTTTATTTGGGTGCTTTGAATGGATGTGAAGTTTTGATCAGTAAAGCAAGTGACAGGATTGTTATAAGATGGTAAATTGACATGGCGCAAACTACAAGATAAGAGTGAGACAACAGAATGAAATATTATTAATAAATATTTACAAAGAAACGCAAAAATAAATTTAACTGTTAAGGACAACATAATTCAATGACTTATTGGACTCAGCAATTCGTAGTAAATTTCCTTACCTCTGTTTCTACAAAATCAAAATTCTTTGTTTTTCTATCCAGACAATGCCATGGATCATAACTAATAACAGGATGCATTCTATATAAGTTGATGTAAACAGCTAAATTAATTGATTAATTTTCGTACACATCCGACTATTATCCATTTACAGTTGCTCATCAGGAAATTTAAAATTTACAGGTTTGACGAGTGATTTGATCACATGCTTACAGATATACAGTATAATAATCAAAAACTCATCCTAGTGGTAAAATGCATGTAAATAATAAGCGTATAATAAAATTTTCAGATTTATCATGAATTTCGATAAACAATTTCAAGATTTTCTCAAATAAATTCACGTTTCAAGAAATGAAATTTACTAATATCAGATAATTTCACTAAATTATTTGTCCATTACTGAATATGGGTTGGCTGGTTAATGAACTTGTTTAACCAATTATCATTTTCTTGGACTTTTTCTTGTTGTGAATGGGTTTAATGAAGTTATCTATTTGAAGATGGTCAATAGAAAAATTTTGTTATTCCAATGATGGAAAAACATGTGAATAGCTTGCAAATGAGCATTCTTATGTCTATGAGAAGATTGAGTTTGATCCAGATTTCATGAGATCGTGTACCTCCTTGTCAGAATAAGAATGGAAAATATGCTGTGATTGCATATAAAAATCTGAATTTAAAGACATCTAATGATTAACACGGTAATCTCTTTGCTTCTTTCTTTATTAACGGAATCTTAGATATTAAATCAATGAATTGTCTACATTTTTTGGCCCAGGTTGAAGATACCTGTGATATTTTGGTTTTTCAGATCGACATAAACAGTAAACACAAACCAATAAGATGATTATGAGGATACCAATGACGATCTGAATGTATAATGGTTCACTTGAAGTTCCTCTTAGATTTGGGATGAAATCAACAGTAGTTAGATTCACAGAAACAGGTTTTAAATTGAAGTCACCAACTCCAGAGTCAAGCATGAGATTGATTTTAAGAGTTTCATATGTATTAACCGTCATACGAAATGATCTTGCGTCGTACGATCTTTTACCAATTTTAAAACTAACATCTCTTCCTAATCGAAAAGGATAGATAGGACATGCTTTTGTTATACCAAATACTGTTATATTTTCGTTGAAACAGTATATGTAAAGCTCTTCTTTAGAGATTTTGACTTGAATATCAATTTTCTTGAGGTTTTCTACACAATTCCCAGTTTTCCAATAATCTTTTAAATCATTATTATTACTTTGAAAGCAATCATGATCATCCGGATTCAAAATTGTACTATCTGTGTTTTCTATATCATCTTGTTCAAAAGGACAGATCATTGAATCACGCCAAAACACATACTTAGGACCAACATAAGTTTTCGTACAATAGTGACTGCCGTTGTATTCATTTAGCCGAAAAGGGTCAGCTTTGTAGATGGTATTATTTTTATTAATGACAGCAGATTCAAATGTTAGTTTGAGTTTACGTGTTTCAGAACCAAAATTATCAAATTCACAATCAAAATTTCTAGCTAATTCGGATGGACAGGAATCTCCACATGGCAATGTAACATTAAACATCTTCAATAGATTTGAGTTTAACCTTTTCTTTTGAATATCTGGTTCTATCATGTCTAATTTTTGTTTGATTGCTGAGAGTTCCATCATTGTTTTTGAAGTAGTCAAAATACTAAGCGGAGAGT